ATTTGAAAAAAGTGCTTAAATCATTTTAACATTGATAAATCGTAAATATTTTCGTTTCGCTAAAATTTGGTCCGAGACGAATCGAACAAATAAATGGTATAAAGTAAAGAGATTGCATAATCAAAATTAAATTCCAAAGCAAGCGTTTATAGAATTTTAAGAGTAACAAATAACTAGTATAAATTAAGGAGAATGGCATAATCCAGTATAGAATCATTTTTACAAGTGAGCAGAGCTGAGATGTAAAATATCGAAAACTCAACAAAAAAATTTAATAGTCTTCTAAAAATCCAAATTTATTGAAAAAATTGTATTACAGACGATTCAGATGATTTTTTTATATAAATTTGGACGTCCATTTTATACCCATKCCATACAATGCCTACATATTTATACAAATATATAAGTACATATGTAACAATGTAGCTAAGCATACATATGCATATATAATTTCATTCATCACCAGTGTGACTTACTCTTCGTGAAGTTTGTTATTCATTCACTTAAAAGCAAAATATAAATAAAAAAAAGCGCGAAGCAAGCAAACAAAACAAAACGCCGTCAAACATACGAAAAAGAATCGCGAAGAAGGAAACATGCAAAACAATCAAACAAGTGTAAAGAATTAAATATGTATATGCAATAGTATATTCATGCATACTAGTATGTACATTTAAAAATTTCAAACCATCGGCATACACAAATCATCATGCTATCTACTATCTTCTCGTTGTTTCTGAAGCGACCATTAAAAGCAGYAACAAAACTAATAAATAAGCTTCAAAAGTACCACATTCCTTTACTTGTTCGAAATAATAGTGACGACACGCAATCATTCATACATAAATACATACACAGACAATAAAAGAAAGAAAGTAAAGCAGAAATGTTGTAGTTTTGATTTGAGAGAATTGAGATTTTTTTTTAGAAGTAGCTTGAGATTTTTGTTATATGACTTTTGTATGGTTAAATTTATATGTAAATATACTACGCTGTTTTGTAATAGGGGTTTTAACCTATAACCATTAATTCTTCCTCTATGTTCATAGAATTGTCTGTAAAAAAAAAAATTAAAAAATCCAATAATCATATACATACATATTTGAATTCCAAAATTTGATAAAATTTGTAGTAGTTGATTTTTATACTGTAAACAACGGCGAAAATTCTTTTAAAACAGACCATAGATAAGTCAGTGCATTCATCTCCGTCTGCATATAAGCGTACTAGTTCTTGGTTTTTGAGATATTGATCTGAAATTTTGCACATGTTTTTTCGAATCGTTTACCAAAATTATAAACGCCATAAACATCAGAAATAATCATACATTCATACTATACCCTAGCAAATTTCTAAACCCGTTTTCATTGTTCCCTCAACTGCTCAACATTCAGCAAATGCCCGAACTGTCTATAAATTATTGTTCAACCTTACTTTATTTCTTACATGCGCTTTCACAACTTAAAGCTGCTTTGTAAGAAAATTCTCACATACAAAAATAAATACTCACATACCGTGTTCCAATAAATTCTTCCTGCAGAGCACCTACATACAGTACATATTTTATTTTTACTTTCTTCATCGATTTTCACATCACACATTACAGATATTACACGCTAGACGCTATAACATTAACATACATATGTATATAAGTTTGTACGATTATATTTACTTTTTAAATCCCGAGTCTTACGGTACTTACTTAAGCGCCTGCTTGTATGTTACGTTTTATATTCGCTGCGTACCGTTGTCTAACTAACAACTGAGTAGGGGCACACACATACACTTGTATGTATGGAAATGTGTTATATATAATGCATGTATAAAATATGTATATGTATGTGTTTGTATCACGTGCATACGCGTTTATTTCATTTGTCGGGCTTACAATTTTATGAAGGTTATTAAATATACTCACACATACTGCTTGATATTTGTGTGTGCGTGTGCATGTGCGCGACTGCTACACGAACTGGCATACGAATAATAGAGATTGACGACACCAAGAAGTAACGTTGTCAAACATAAACAAACAATTTCGCAAATATATGAGTATACATATGTATGCATGAGTGCGTTTGAGCGTATGAAACACGTAGCTACTTAGCGGTGATTTTTATGTATTTTTGTGTGTTTTTTGTACTTTTTTGTGTGATAGCAGATGATACAAATACAACACAGAAACATTATAGGAATGTCGATGGCGTTGAGGCGAGTACCGGTGTACACAAACGGTATAAATAAAATAAGCAATAACTAAATATTGTCTGAGGGAAGTTGTCTAAGGTCAGGTTAGCCCAACATTATTATTTGGATTTTTTTTTATTGTTATTGTTATTATTATTACTTTTTCTTTGTCTTTCTTTCATTATGGTTATGTTTGTATGTTTAGATGTGTGCATGTGTATATTTAACTTCGTTCAACGAATATTCATTTTGCTGCTTATATTATTGTCTGCTGGTAGTATTTCCCCAAAACATGTCTTATACTTATATATGTGTTTGTGGGTATAGTTTTTAGTGTGTTATTGTAGTATATTTTCCCACAAACATATCCTTAAGGTCTTTGAGCTCTTAAGCACTTAAATTCGCTACATCAGTAAACACTTGTTAGTCGAATGAGTATGGTGCTTAAGTGGATTTTAATTTGTAGAAACTAATCTGAAATGAATTTATTTTTGGATACAAAAATATATA